AGCATTGAAAGTAACAGAATATTCCCATGCAAAATAACTGTTCTCTGATGTGCTAGTTGTCATTACTAATCTAAGCAAAACACTTTAAGATCAAGTATTCCTAAGCAACCCCAGAATGTAATTAACTAAGTGAGATACATCCCACTGGGAATACTCTGGACCCCAGAACAGACAAACACACCTGAATCTCTGGTTGTGGGTAGCTTTTGTAGGCATGCTTTCACATATATTTAACACAAGCCATTTCAATTTGATTTTGTTCGGACGTACGTGCTTGGTCTATCCTAGCAAGGTTTGCAGCATGGAAGTTCTCCACGTTCTTTCTTCTATTTTTTCGCCTTTGTCGCATGTCGTGCTTTTCCGATTCCTCTCTTCTCCTGATCGTTCACATGATCCATAATGACTTATTCAGGAAAATGGAAGTATATGCCGATCAACAAACTGACGACTCTCTTAAAAATAAAAAAAACAGATAAAAAGAATGGAAACAACAATCTTCATAAAAACAAAATGATATATTCTCCCTAAACTTTATCTCAAAGTAATACTGTCTAGCAAAGCAACTCTTTTATCATTCTCACTTCACAATTTACTATTTACTACTCAATCAACATTTCCTATTATAGAAGGTCCACTTATTACCATCTCAAATTCCAAAACCCATCTTGGATTTCATCTTTCACAACATTAGGTTAAGAAGCTTTTGACTTATTGCATTTCAAATTTCTCTCCATAAATAATGATGGTCATGACCCATTATGCTTCCTAGCCATTCTAGCCTACTTGCAAATGCACTCAATTTTAAGAGTAATAAGAAAACTTCCACAACTCTTACACAAATCACACTATTAAAAAGATCAAAATTATTTAAATATCTTATATTATCTATTGTTTCTCCTATTTTCTTCATTTATGCTTATTAGTAACTAAAATTAGACTATGCTTTTTCTTAAACCAATCTCCCAAATAGAGTCATTTCTTGTATGCTCGTCCGATATCCTCCTTGCTTCTCCGTTCTTCCTTATCCATCCACACCCCCCTCTCTCCCTCTCTAGCTCTCGGCACCTCGATAACGCACACGCGCTCTCACATGGATTTAAAATTCTCGGCAAGCCCCGGCAAGTCGCTGACCTAGGTCCTCTGGATAAATCCAACCACGTAATATGAAATCTTCGGAGTTTAGAGCTTCATGACCTCCGCCACAACCGAGTCAGTCTTCTCTGCAATAAATTTTTTTTTTTTTGGTTTTTCTATTCAAGAAATGTCAGTTACTGCGCCGTAATCTACTGGAACAATAACTATTCGGAGATTTTCCGGGAGGTCTAGTTGAATCGGGGATAAATTTGTACTTCTAGGGTCTTGTTTTCTTGGAATTTCGTTTTAGTAAGCCCTGCTTCGAAATTAGTTAAAAAAATTGGTGCCCTAATCATGCTTCCGGTGCAGGCATTAAAAATGTAGGTAGCCCATTCTATACCGTAAATGATCTTTTGGAACTTTGATCCAGGCTTCTAATGAAAAATGCTTTTCATTGCATTTAATCCCATGTTTAAGTCTTTTTCTGTGCTAGTGGAAATTGTTTGTTTATAACTATGTTTTAAAAGGAGTTTTCGGTGATCACTCGTTGCTTCCCTCAGGGCAGGGTGGATTGAATTATTCCCAACGTCTTACGCCTACATGCTAAGGTGTTAACTCATGAGCGTAGGGTGATCGCCTCATGATAAATTGAAGGAAGATTTTTGTGCATACCAGTCAGTTCTTATGTATTTACATATCTATCACCTAAACTTCAATTTCTACATACGTGCACCTTCCCTATGCATGGAAAGGTGCATTTCACTTTTTAAAAGTTAAATGGTGGTACTTTTGATGAGATATGAAAGATTTGGGTGGCATAGATATAAAAAACAAAGTTAGGTGTTAGAAATATAAATACATAGGAATTGGGTGGTATGTTTGTAAATGCCCCATTAAATAATCAATTTCTTCTACTTTATTTTATTATAAATAATTTTCTATTTGAAATTCTAAATAGAAGTATGAATCTTAAAAAATGTTTTAAGTCTTCTAAATGTGAAATTTTATTAAATAGTTATCTCCTATAAACTCACAAAAAACATAAAAAAAGCTAGGCCCGACTCGCCTTTGCCTCCCTTATGCCACATCTATCTTATCCCGCCTTGGTAGAGGCTCCTTTGTAGCTCTTTGTTTCACTTATCGATTGATATATCTTAGAAACTGGCAACTGATATATGAAGAAAATGTCACATCTTTTAATCTAGTAGGTTCTGAAGGTGACTTGACAATAAAGAAGATGGGGGAAAAACATGGATTAGATAAGAGAAATGAATGACTAGGTAGGCAATTTAGTATGTCCACAACTTCGAAAAATTATAATTGGGTGGCTAGCGAGAATGATTGAAGGAAAGCGTAAGTCATTTTATTTTGACACTTCATCTTCAATAATTGGGAGTATTTATAGACTACAATGACATAGTTAAAATCTACAATGACTCATTAATCACCGTTAACCATTAGTCCAATCTCAAATTACTCATTATAATTATTAGTGTTTGCACGTATTTGTCATTTCCCCACCCCTTCAAAATTGATTTTGCCCTAAAGGTTGAACTGTGAAGTAATACAAAAAAAAGAAAAACGTGGAGTTTCGATCATGAAGTATAGGTGTGGCCCTTGTAAATACTGCAAACATCAGATAATTGTTAAGCTTCCCATCGATCCCTTGGTAATAATGGAGGCAACTGCCATTTTTCCAACCATAATTTTGCTAGTTGATTTTATAATAAATGGTTCATTCCGGAATTGGCTCCTAAGAGCTAATAAAACAAACCATACAATTGATTGAGTTAACAATTTTGAAATTCCCAATGGCATGGATTATCTACTTATATTCTTTGGTTCTTAGTTTTCTAACGGTTTATAGTTTGTAAGTCTGAACTTGGAGTGGGATATCATATGGTTTAGACTTATAATTGGTACTTTAGAAGTTGGATTGGGTAGCAACATCTTAGAATGTTAGACATTCTTTGTCTCTCACTAAGTCAAAAAAAAATTAAAAAAGGTTCATCATTTAAATATTAAAGTTTTAAATTCATATGGCACAAGGCATTTTTCTTAAATTATTCATATTATATTATTATTACGTCTTCATGGCATATTTAAATAAATTTACTATTTATTATTTCATACTTTTGAACATTGAATCTCTCTCTTTACCGTTTTAATGTTCGGTCCTGTTTTTCAAAATCTTGCTAGGGCTTTTTCTTGAGTGATAGTGGATTTGACTATTCTAGAATTTTCTTCTGGAGCAACAATGAATTTGGAATCTATCGGTTCTACCAATGATTTAATGATCTTTTTGTTTAAAGTGCCCTTCAAGCTTATCAATCACAATTTAATATCCTTTACGATGGAAAGGAGAGACGCTAATTTATTGTTCTGATTCTTGAGTCATATTGAATAATCATCTTTCAAACCAATTTAGCTCTCCATGAATTTTTGCTACTATGTTGTGAGGATTTGATGTTGGGGATATGATGAGGATGATAAACCACATATTTGTAAGGTGACATCAGAGCAGAGGGTTTTGTCAATTTTGTGCTTTAGATTTTGAAGAACTTAGAGTTGGGTTAGGGGTAATATTTGCTCACCTATAATTAGGAGTATTTATAAATACTAGTTACAATTTCACTTATTAACTACCTATTAATCGCCACCTAACCCAAGCTACTTATACTTATTAACACTTGCACATTCCTATCATTGACATGCCTCTCATCTTTGTCGAAGCCCAATGTTAGATGGATGCTTGTTTCACTTTATTTTAATATCCAATTTTACCTAATTTATAAATTTTAAACATTAAAATTACACTATGAATCATATGGCCCACCTTGTGAAATTTATCTTTTTTATATTTTACTCTTTAATCAGATGACACACACACACACACATATATATATCGAAGGAATGGTCAGTGGCTATCATATGAGCCTCCAACCAATCCTAATGTGCCCAACTGTTTGAGTACCATCTCCCTAAGGCTCTCATCATGGGATTTGAACTATATAGAGAGAGAGAGAGAGAGAGAGAGAGAGAGAGAGAGAGAGGAGCATTGTGCGGCTCTACATATATTAATTAGAAAGAAAGGGTTACTAAGGGGCTGTGGTGGTGGATCCCCACAACTAAGAAACAAAAAATACAGTATTCACATAAAGGGGGTTCCACCACCAATAGTAGAACTCCACACCAAAAAGTATCTCAAAAACATACTAGTATACCCAAAAGTCAAAAAATAGAAAGCCAAAAATTATACCAAGTTTCTATGACTGTAGAGGAAAGCCGTAAGTGTTGTAGGAAAGAGGTAGTCACAAGGTCAGCAGCAGAAGACAAAGGATGCAGACAACAGGTCAGTAGGAAGTCCGAACATATTGCACAAGAAAGCTCCAAAGAAAGGGTAGTTATAACCATATATCGTCCGAATCTAAGCTGCAGCAGTCCGCAAGCCGTAGAAAAATACGGAAGAGGATCCAAGGAACTCCAGTAGCAGGTTGCCGAAAAAGGAGGGAAATTATGTATTAGAAGAGTGCAACCATTACTAAGAAACCATAGTGCAATGCAAAATAAGAGATTTATAAAGATATATATAAATTTATATATCCCAACAAACAATAATTCAGTATATAAGAAGGCTATAATCCAGCAGAAAGCCAAAGCCCTTAAGATATTAGAAACGTGCTCCTCGAGCCATCCAGAATTGTGAAACAGAACAATCAGAGATAGTTTATCCAAAACCAATAAGGGATGAGTAAAGAGCTCCTCCAACCATCTAGAAATGTGAAACAAAAACGAACAAAAATAAAGAAGAGAAATACGCAGTGAGCCAAGCAGAGAGCAAAACAAGATTATCTTCTAATGTAAGGCACATTGAGGAGCTCCCCGTTTAATAATGTTTGGAGGTAGGAAGAGGGCTTAACACCCACCAGCACCCCAAAGGATCCTTGCTTAGCTAGCCAATTAGCAAGGGAATTACCTTCTCTGTATATGAAATTCATTTGAATATTAAGAAGTTGGCTCATAATGAAAGCCCAAATCCTGTTTAAGAGGCAAAGCACATTCCAAATGGGAGGAGATGCCTTATTGAACATATCCATAAGAGCAATAGAATCACTTTCCATTGTTAAAGTTGAGAATTGAAAAAATAACAACAATTTGTAAAGCAAACCAAATAGCCCAACATTCGGCCTCAATGGGAGAAGAGGCACATACCGGTGAAGCAAAGTAACAAAGGCAACGACTCATAAGATTTCTAAAAACACCCTCAGTCCTAGCAGCATTAAAGGCCGAGCTCCCATCCACATTAACTTTAACTCATCCAAAGGAAGGGGGCTGCCACCAAATCAAGGCTGGCCTCCTGCCCTCCCAGGTTGAGTAGTGCCTAACTTTAAGCATCAACAAGCTTTAAGAAAAGAAGCAAGTATATAGGAGATAGTGATGAAGAAGCAAATATATATATATATATATATATATATAGATATA